TTATTTACTGTTGACTACCATTTCAGTCAATGCTTTTTACCATACTTTAAGTTCAATTAATCCAAGGACAGATGGGCTTTAGGACTCTGCAATAACAACTCTGACAGCTAATAGAAAAAAATATTTTTTTGTGTTATAAAGACTGATATATTTCAGGAAATATGGACAACTCCTCATTATAGGATTAATTAACATAGAAAATGTTGAACAGTTTCCCCAATTTCCTTAAAAACATTCGTTAATGTTAAACATCAAGTAACTAAATTTTCATGACTACCAGAGATAGGAATATGTACTAATTTGAGTTCAAATCCCAAATTGTTTTCCCATACTGTCTCAATTCTTTCAAGAGAGCTTGTCATATTTCATACTACATATAATGAGTTTCTTTTAATTTTAAGTGAAGATGCTGTATATTCATCAAATACTATTTGTAGTAAGACTGAAAATTGATAAGGTTAAAAATAAATTATTGCATTCAGTATTATTTGCTTCCAGAGGCAAACGATCAGGTAGTAAAGGGGGCTCTAAAAATAGATTCCTATTTTTTTAGCAACTGTTGCGTGGCACATTGTAGCTTAAGGCATTTAATATATAATACAGCTAGAATGGGGTAGTTTAGAATCAAAGTAGATTGTTTTCTTCTCTTTCACATATCTGTACTACATCAACTCTTTCTAATAGTTAACCCAGCAAAAGGCAGAGGCAAATTTGGAAACTACAACCAGGAGAACATGAGTTCTCAACTTTGGTTGTACCTTCTTTCAAAAAGCAGGATTGCTCTGTTTTCCCTGAATTAATGGTTGGGAGTAGTCCGAATCTTATGCTTTTTAAAATAAATAAATAGTTTATTTTTTCTCACTTAGCCCCTTATGAGTTGTCTGTAGGCCCTCTGAGAATTCTGTCCTTATTGGCAGCATGTTGTTCAAGTGAAGAAAAAGCCACCCTCCTTCTACATCTCTTCCCTACTGTTCATCCCAAGGAGGAAGTACTCTTAGTAGCCAAGATTTATAATGAAGGGCAGTGAGAGAGAGAGAGAGAGAGAGAGAGAGAGACTCTGCATGAGAAAATTGAGAAAAGCCCGCATATGGAAATTGTTAGTGCTGTGCAGAATGCAGCTTGGGCATACCACTGATCAGGTAGTTTCCATTTCTACAGGTATTATGGACAGCAGATAATATCAGTTGATGTATAGCTATCCCTCAAATAAAATATTTTTCAGCTTTATCTGGCCTTTGTGCTGAATAAACAGCCTGTCAGTGAAAGAGCTGGTCACATCTTTCACACAAAAGTACTCTTGGCATTGCTTAGGAGGAGGAAAGTAAAGCACTTCCATGAAAGTAGCATTTTTTTCATAATCCTGCCGCAGCAAGTAGTAAAAGTTCTGTTCCTATGCTAAAAGGTTGAGAAACTGACATTGGCAGGCATCAGAAATAGGCAATTGTTGGTGATTTAATTCAGGCAGAACCCTTTATACCTACCATCCCTTTCAGAGGATAGATTACACCAGAAACAGTTTGCTGTCAACTTACTTAGTTCCTTTTTCCACAGACCCTACGAGACATTGTTATTGGCGTACTGCAACGACTGAAGAGCCAGCTTTACTAATCAAAGAGACAGCCATGAAGTGGCATAATATAATTTGGAGATATATGGCCAAGAACCTCTATTCCTTCCAGTAATTCCATTTCAAACTTTTTTTAGGGCTACAGATTGAGTTTACCTCTGCAATCCCCTCACAGTTGGCACTGCAAGCTCCTTAAATGAGCAGAAAAGCAATCAATGCTCTATTCATGGGGAAGAGTTGCTGCCATATCCCTCTTTCAAGCCTTGGCTCCATGTGTTCCTATACATATAGAAAGGTTCCTATACATATATCTGATAGAAATGTATTTACAATATACCAGGTTTCACAATGAGCCGGGTTTTTTTTCTTAAACATGCAGAAACACCAGAACTTCTCATCACCTCAGTTTGGTAAATACTTTTTCTAAATACCTAGATATTACATATGAGGTTTGGTTTAAGAGGCAGTAGCTGGTATAACGACTTTAAAGAAAGAGCTGTTTTACACACTATCATGGCTCCATGTTGCCTTGGGTTAAGTGCAGAGAGCTGGAGAAGTTAAGCAGTAAACTGCCTTGCTTTGTAAAATGCATTCTGACAGCCTCGTAGAGAGGCAGTAAGCCATGCAAATGCTGCAGCAGCATCTTCCTGCTGTCTAGCCAGGCTCAAGCTTTTTTAAATTGTTCAACCTATATGCAAGCATTATTTGCCTTCACTTCAATACTATGGATTAAGAGTCTGGCTAGCCTTATAGATTATGCTGTGTTAGCACTAAAAGGGGAAATATCTTTTTAGTCTCCCATAGCCCTGGTTTCTAATGATGCAATGAAGTGAACTTAAGCTGACTCCCCTCTGCAGCTCCTGTTTTTTTGTTTTATTTTTTGCTGCAAAGGTGGGTTCACTGTCTTTTATAGGCACTGCTTTCTGGATCTGCTGCTGGTTGGTGGAGAAGGACATTAACTCAGACAGACCTCACTATTTTTTTATTATGACAAGCAGTTCTAATAAATTTGCTATGTGGTTGAATGACTTTGTTGGCTTTGCTTGGTTTGTTCTAAAATAACTAACATTTTAGAAGACTCTGGTCCTGAGTATTTAGCGTTGAAATTATTCTAGTTACTTCTCCATAGTAAATGTATAAAATGCTAGTTTTCAGACTGGGGGCCATCCTCAAATTATTATTTTGGCCTCTGAGTCACATACAATGATGGACTGATGTCTTCAGGTAGGAGTGTCCCAAAACATTGGCCCTTATTTGAGGAGGGTGAGGGAGGAAGAGTCAGCAGTTTTAAATGTCAAAATGAATGTGTTATGCATCTGGCTTAAGGTATCAGTATTAATCTTTAATTTGCAAAAAAAAATCCTTGCGCTACTGAAAATCAGCATTTTGCTCCCAAATTTTGGCAGCATGATCTTGTAGTGCTATTGCAGGCCATGTGCAGCCACAGTATGCCCATCCATGATCCAACAGCCACTTGCCCAGGAAACCGCCACCTTTAATGTAAATTTTCCAAGGTATATTCTTCCTCCATGCAACAAAGAAGAGATAAACCAAGCTGTTCTCCCTCCCACAACTGCACAAACAGCCTGGAGAAAATAAAACAAGGCATAATGGCAAGCTAACAACTGACGTTAAAATTTCCTCAATTCTTGGTGACATAATTAATCCGTTCTCTGACACAACAATGCATCTTTAGAGATTCTAAACTTAAAGCCATTGCAATTCCTATCTTAAATCTTGCATACCCCTGATCTGAGCATTCAGAAAAAACACTAAAACCAAGCAGAAATGAGTAGTGTTGGTTTAATGGCACAATATGCTGTTGATACAATATGCAGGCCAATTACAGAGAAAATGTAACACTATCAGAAATTCAAATATTTATTTTGTGTCTCCTCCATTTTTTCAAGTGCTTACTAACAGCTTTGTTCTAACACCTTTAAGAACAAAACAACCAGCCTGATTAGGACATCATGTGGAGAATTTCTAGAGAAAAACTAAACAGCACAAAAGGAGAGGTCTGCTTATCCCCACTGAATGAAAATATTTTTAAATTTTTAAAATCCAGAGCAACATAGAATATGAGAGACTGAAACTTGAATGCTTAGATGTTTCATAATGCAGATGAGACTGGTTCACACAGAGGGTAATGTAACATTCAAATCTTCATCTGTCTCAATGCCAACTTCCTCCTGAACAAGGAACAACACATACTCTTTAAGATACAAGAAATGAAAATAAGAGCATCCTACAGACCACACCTGTATGCAGTAGTTGAACTGATGCATAGTTCGAACTGACCAAGAAATGCCTACTTATAATCCATCCAATGTGGTCCTGACTCTTAATATCAGATCACATGTAATACTCACAAAGAACTGTTTCTTGCTTTTGGGGTAGCCTTCAAGGATTGCATCAAGTAGTTCTGTTGCCTGTTGAAAAAGTTTAAATCACTCACTGAGTTGCTGTCCTTTCTCCCAAAAGATTAGTAGATGAAATCTTCTGAAGACAAAACTTCTCAGAATAACACAGAGGACAATGATAAATACAAAAATAATTTTTTGAATTCTGTAGGTCATAACTTTTTCTGTCATTTTACTTAAACATACATCAATAATAAAAATGAATAAGAAAAAAATGAAAAATATAAACTCCCATCTTAATGAGATATACAAAGACTTCATATTCAATAGTTCTTATCAAAAAGAAAAACCAGTTGGAAATATTTTGTTAAAAAAAACAAAGATTGATTTTAAGTAAAATAATTGAAGTATTTTTCATGATCATTTGTTGCTGTGCTATCTTTTCAATAATGCCATTTCCAATACTTTTTAATATAATTGATCCAAAGAAACAAGTGCTTTGGTTTGAAAGAATCTGCAGTAGTAAGTCTAACAATTTACAAGAAAAAAAATGAATTATGTGCAGTTCTTGGAGCACACATAACTTCCTGCATTGCTCCATTTTGCACCAGCTGAAGCTTCCGGATACTCTTCAAGGGCAGCCCCGTGTAGAACATGTTACAGTAATCCATTCAGGAAGTGACCAGGGCATGAGCGACAGAGTATATCAATCGTTCTTTCCAGTGTCTAGAAATGAATGGCCTGTGTTTCAGAAAACATCCAAGCCAAGAAAGTTATACTCTATTATTTTCAGCACAAAGAGGATGAATGCGCTACTTAGTTTATCAGACAGTAGGCAGGAATCCCCCCAGTCAATAACGGATTAAATTATGCACACAAAATGAGTCTGCAGCTGTATATTGTAAATCATTATTTGGGTCTTAGTTTTTACACTTGAAAAATAGGATACTTAGAATGTATTTTGTTGGTTTCACAGACACACAACACAAATGCACAATTTTTTTGACCTTAAATAGTTAAGAAAGTGTCTTACCATTCTCTTGCGGCGACGCCATTCCCTGCAGTACAGCTTCTTCTCATTGTACACCTGCAACCGACAAAATCAAGGCAATTCTTATGCTTTCAGATCCAATGAAACAGCTTGCATTGCAACCAGCTTTGATGTGGGAACCGATGCTACAGCATCCAAAACTGAGTGTTGACAAACTGCCTGCAAGAAGAGGGCTTTAAACAGAGCGTTCATATTTGTCCCAATTTAATGCCAATTAGAATTAGGCAGATTTTCAATGCTCTTGATGTATGCTGGGATGGGGGAGTTCCCCAGATCCCATGAAGAGTTATTAGCAAATAAGTATTCAATGTTGCCTGGTTCTGCGCAGCAGTGCTTAAAATTTCTCAGATCATGTCCTGTGCCATAAACTAGACTTAATGACATCCAGTTTTTCATACCAGAGTGCCCTATAATTTGATATAGTCCTCCACATACTAACCTTTATGCTCCCCTACACCTATCTAATGCTTCTACCCCTCCCTTCAGATTCTTTTAGACTCGTTTTTTATATATACTTTCTGCTTTATATATTTTAGCTTTTCATAATTTTTTTAGATCTTCCATGCTTTTTAATTGACTGTACCCCACCCTCCTTATGCTGGTCTATGACTGTAATAAAGATTTGATTTGATTATTAGCAAATAATAATGTTTTGGAGTCTCAGGATTCTTCCCTCTCTGATACTTGAGTTAATTTTGGAATACTCAGCACCACTACGGCCCTTATATATGGTCGGTAAAGGATAGCAGGGCAATCAGAATGGGCTGTCTGAACCATGCCATTATCTGCCACTGGACCCTCCCTTGGCAGCTTCGTTACCTTTTCTTTTTCCTCAGGGGTCACATGATTGGCAGCAGATTTAATTCGTTCCAGTTTCTCTGTATAATTGGCACAATCTTTTTTTAATGCTTCAATTTCTTTAACCATCTCTGGGGTTGTCATAGAGCCCTTCAGTTCTTTCAGTTCTGGAATGGAATTGCTAGTTACAACAGCTGAGATGGCATTGGTCAGTGGGAAGGACTGCAGGCATTCTGCGTCCTGCAGCCCAGATACACACAGTCCCCAAACGTTCCATACCCTTCTAACACTCAATTGCACAAGTATTCACTCTGGGCAAGTTTAGATCAACAAACTGACTTAACCTGCCTGTACACACCTGACTCCATATGACGACAGTTCTGTTGGAGTGTCTGAACTTTGCAAGACAGTTCTGAAATATCATTGTCCAAGACTCTGAGTTCTGAGTCACTCACATTACCAAAACGATTCTGGAGAAACACAAGCATGGGAAAGAGCATTAATCTAACATGAACAGCGGAAATATTAGGTATATTTTCTATTATGCTATCATGGAATAAACTACATTTCAAGCAATCAACAAGTTTTTCTGGAAAAAAAGTCAAAATCCTTATCATATATCCTTGTACCATCTTTATACTATCTTTATGGTATGTTCTGCCAGTATTATGCACTTCTGTCCCAAAACAATTAATATCAATTTGCAAAGAAATAATTTTCAACTGGGAAGCAATTTGCTTATTTAATAAAACTCTAAAACAGCATCTCCATCAAACTTGTTTCTGGTGCTTAAAAAAATTAGACACAACAGTAAAAAAACTGTTTGCCTTGTAATATTAAGTTTTAACTTAATTTATATAAGAAGATTCAGCCTTCTGCTCATCTAGTTCAGTATTCTGTCATACACTGGCTAAATGGATTCATTTGGGAAACTCACATGCCTCTACTGGAGGGTGATAGCCCTCTTCCACTTTAGTTTCCCAGCAAAAAATAATTTTACTTATGTATTTGTTCCTTTGCTAGATTTATATCCCACTTTCCTTCAGAAGCTCAGATCCCATGAAGAGTTATGGCACTCCCTCCTCCAATTTACCCCTGCAAAGAACAATTCTGTGAGGTAGGCTGGCTGAGAGAGAGCAACTGGCCCAAAGTCACCCAGGTGCTAAAAATGGATTTGAACTTGGGTTTCTTGTGTCCCAGTCCAACACCTTCACAGTGTGCATTTAGTCATGGCTTCCTGCTGGCTGTTCGCATATCTACACAGAAACTCAAACAAATAAATGCTTGGTGCAGCTAGCTGATAAGACAATCTGAGATTAGAAGTTAGTTCTAACTTGTTGAAGAGTTGGGCTGGCATCAGAGGTGGAGACTTAAGTTATCAAAGGACTCTGGAAAGGAGAACTTGATGAAGGTGTGTAACAGGTGGCATATAAGGTGGATCTGGACAGCTGTGGCTATTGATATTGGCTATTGGCTTTAGGAAAGCACATGGATGGTGGCAATTCTGAAATAAACTGGGTTACTCTGCTAAGGCTTTGTTTTTTTCCTGGGGTAGTAAAAGTTAACATTTGAGTTTCACAGAAACTGAAAAGCATCTCCCTCACCTGATCTGGAAAATAAATCTTCTGCTTCCCATAGACCTTCTCTTTGATCTTCCCTTGCTGAGCCAGCTGCTCTAGTGCCTTCACTACAGCCTGAATCAAACAGAAACAAAACATGCAGAATGAGAAAAATCAACAACAAAATGGAGGATTGAAATGAAAACTGCAAGTTGTCTAAATATCAAAGGAGAATGAAAACCTGACAAAGAAAATTCTTTACTACAGGAGAATACAACACAATCCTTGAAAATGTACATGGCATTTACTAGTAACCAGAGGAAATCTGCCAGCTCAGATAGTGGAAGTAGTTAGGAGTCAGTATCTGAAAATATGTGAATGTGACTGCTAAAGTGTAACATTGCTGCATCATACAGCATAGTTAGAAAGCTATAAGCAGACAAACAATTGTATTTCTTAACAATCATATCATGACCATTAT